GCTTCCTAAAAACAAGATAGGTGCACTTGTCTGAACAAGGCAATCAGATCTTTATTGAATCTTTGAAAAAGGCTTTGCACAATTTTATTTTGTCAAGTGTGGGAGTGATGTTTACTCTGCTTAATAAAAGAAATCGGCCATGGCACACTATTTCGCTGATTAATTAATGGCAAATGTAACCTTTTGCTTGCACATCACGCAACAGACTACTTTTTGCAATAGACTGTATATTTTTCAGGCCTTGTTATATACCATAAAGCCTTTTTAATTGCATTTCCTTTGAGATGTAGAAAACACTTCGCAGTTACATAAAGCATAAAAAGTAAGTAACCTCTCTCAAGCGGAGGCTTGATGTTCAATTATGAAACAGAAGTACACCTTTTCCTTTTCGGAAAAGTTAATCCATCCATTTGTGTCTCGAGTAAAACTAATTTTGACCTTGTTTAGTAAGAGAAAATATCTATGGTATATGAGAATGTTGACTGTTTTTGTACATTCTGCGACATTTCTTACACTTTAACTTTGAAAAAGACTGAGTATTAAGAATGTGCGTTTTGTTGACAAAGTAATCTTGCATTATGAATTGAACGGATTCGATTGCAAAGAGAAGTTACTGGGGGGGGGGGGGGAATAAAAGTAAAGAATTTAACATATTTTGCTCTCTATACATTTGTTAAAAATAAAGATTTTCATTGCAAACTTTTTGTCCCTTTGTAGCCTCTTGACTTAAAGAAAACGTTTAAAATTCATCTGTCTGTTTGCTTGAAAGAATTTTCAAGTTTTATATGACAGTAGATTTAATTCTTGTCTGTAGACTGGGCGAGATGATATCTGAGCACGCCATCTAATTCTGAGGAAACGAAGACTGCCTTCATAGTCTTTCCTCGGGAGTAAATATGTAAGAGGTAGCGCTGTAAAATCACTTATTTTTAGGGGTCTGTTTTTCTGGACTGAAGAAAAAGTTGTTTCAAGGGAATTTGAATTCTTGGCTGAAGAAGAAACATGAAACTGCTATTTAAAATTTAAGCATTTCATGGGAGCATAGATTTGTGGGTCGCATTCCTACAACGAAAGCAAAGACACCCCCTTAAAAAATAGTGATTTCACAGTTTAATCTTTGGATAAAATAATACACGAAAAATATTTTATTTACATGTAGATCTGTATTCCATTTAAAATCTTTGGATATAGAGAAATAACAAACCGTATATGAATTGCCAACCTTTGACCTCTGCTATATCTCAATCCAGTGCACTCAGTAATGCTTTCAATTTGGTTCCCAGGGACTCAATATGAAAAAATGAAGATAACGAACAGTGATCGATCCTAAAAAATCTACAAACAATCCAAATCTGTTAAACCCGGCCCTCCCCTAGCCCGGAATTCCAGAAGAAGGACCAGCTGCCAAGGAAGAGTAAGCAATACATTTCGACCGGTCACACCTGCCGTGAGCCCCAAGTATTGATCAGGTAGATGGAATATTCCATAGAAAAATTTAGTATAAAAACAAAGGCCTAACAACTGAGATTTAAAACCTGAGCCAAATTAAAACCCAGTGATAGGTTATATTTGCTAACAAGATCATTATAACGAACAAGAATGTACGAAATATTGACTTTAAGGAGGCTGGGGGGTCAACAAATTAACCACAAATTAACCACCAGATTTAACTTAATTTTTTAGATATGATATCTTAAGCTGTCAACTATCATTTGGCAAAGAAAAATTTCAAAAATTTTAGTTTTAAAAGTTGATCATTTTCTATATCTTCATATGGAGCTCTTCTTCTAAAGGAGATCAATATAGTCTAAAAATGGCCACAACCCCCCAGCCTCTTTAAACGAGGTTGTTGAATTCCGTGTAACATCAACTAATCTGTCAGTAGCCTGCCTCAGTTTAAATTATTGTACTCAGAGCATGCTCTTGAATATTAAATAAAATGGGAGTTGTAAGCCCCACATGCAGGTGATAGCGGAACATTATTACATGAATAAAGAAAGTTGACGATGGAAAACCTGAAATCATCTCGTTTATCATGCAATTTAATTGTTAGTTTGCCCATATCGTCTATAGTCGGTAAAATATCCTTGTATGAAACAGATAAGACAGACTCTGTAGTACCTTTTATTTCGAGTTCATTTGGAATACATCTAGTCGACACATGAATGGAATTAACTATTATGAATTGACAAAACGTTCTCAGTATATCTGAATGTCGAGTTAAAGGCCACAGGAAGTGTTTTCTTCTTCTCATGAAGATTGATTGATTGTATGTTGTTTTACGTCCCATCACATTCGTGAATTTTCACTCATATTGAGACGTAACCATATAACAGTGAAGGGCTTTAAATTGAAACCTACGGCTCAGGGTCATTGAGTAGTGAGGGTTCTTTATCGTTCCAACGCCTGTCGTGTCTTCGGTTTTTAAGGTATTATCAGAAAGACCCTTAATTTACACTTCGAGTGCCGGGTGCTTGGCGAAGGAACAGTTCACTACCTATGTTTTTCTCATCTAGAAGTTTTTGAATAAATTCTGCTTCATAGGAATATAAAAACTGGTTGGCTAATAAAGGAGCACAGTTAGTCTCAATCAGAATTCCAACAGTTTGTTGGAAGACCTGGTCTCAAAAGACTACATAAATGCTGTCAATGAGGAGCTCCAGCGTCCTTTCAATATAAACTTCAGGATACATATATGAAGAATTAGAGTGATTTTAAACAAAGTAATTTTGTTGATGACCAATCAGGAGATATGAAACTTTCCGAGTATCAATTTTTATTGAAGAAGCCGTTGTCTATGACATCAAATTAAGAAGCCTAGTTTTTTTTTTATTTATCATCAAAAATGGTTGTATAAAGTGTTGAAAAGTCATATGTATATTTTATATACTTTGAATAGTTTGGTTATTTTAAATATCTAAATGTTCTTTGAAAAATCTTTGAAAATCCACATCTGATTTACACCACTTCTAGAATATTCTGTAGCACAGTACGTCTGAAACTTCTCCTACACAGCATTAAAAATTTTTGTGAGGAATAAAGATAGGGGGTTGGTAGAGCCATTGTTGGACCATGCAATATATCTTTGTTTGAAAGGATTTTTATGACGTTAAGGAATGAAGTATAGGTATGGTAGATCGAACTCACCTTGGTTGACTGGAATGTTAAAAGTATTAAAGACTGAAATGTGATTTTGAAGAATTTTGTCCTTAGAAAGTGAACTGTCAGTATAAGCTAGATTTCCAGACAGTTACATAAATGGACATTTCAAACAGAGACAATATTGATACAGGCCATGTCTGCTGGAACCATAACATATTGTTCTTTCTAATTCTTTTTTCAACTCCGATTTAGCGAAAACGGAATTATAGATGGTTCGCATATTGTCTTTTATCTTTCTGATTCTTTAATATATTTCTAAAACAACTAATCCATTCTAACAAAGTGTTCAGGTCTTCTCATTCATATTTAGCCCAATCTGACATAATCTTCGACAGACTTCATAATAGAAATAAAGTTCTGTTGCCAATTCAAAGATCGGGCTCGATCCGGTATTTAGGACCTTTTTAAGCAATATAAACTGCATTTTTGAGAATTTTATTTTGCTGTTAAAATGTGCTGTTATGGTAAATCTGTATGTAAATTAATCCTTTATGATCAATTAGACTAAAATAAAGTAGTAATTTTTTTTTAAGTATATAGCATTATATAAGAAATCAATTTTGGTACAGGACGACAATAATGTAATTTCCCTTCAATCAAAGTTTATGAATAGTTCTTTTTTCGCAAATATGAACGACAGAAGTTTAAAAACGTTCTTTTTTATGTCATTAAAAAAGTTAATGGCAATATCGCAACAAAAATTTCCGACATCAAAGTTGCAGCTCATATTGCTTTAAGATTATTGTTTTAGGTCGTCATTTTTCAACATCGGTAATGTCATGTCCGGCGGGACTGTAGTTGAAAGAAGAAGAGCAAGAATACTTAAAGAGGATTTTGTTTTGAATGTTCAATATCTAGGTACTATAACGTTTGTGTTAAGAAAGACTCATGACTTAAACTTGCAAACACCAAATAATAAAGGAAGGAATGTTAACTTCTTATTTTTAAAGTCTTAATTCCTGATAGCTCATCACTTTCTGTACAGAAAGCTAGCACATTACCAATCAAATAATGATGTGATTAATTAGTATCACTTACTCTTTAATGCTTGATCATGCATTAAAATAATTCTTGGATGAAAAATAGCTTGATGCTTCTAATACTTTTAAAGTAATTAATCTCTAATTATGAAAAAAAAATGTAAGAAGTAACATTATAATAAACATAATAGGATGATAAAATAAAATTTCAAATGTTGTAGATATACATTGCACACGTAATAAGTAGGACAAGTCATGAATTGTTTATGTTCATTTATGTTAATTATACAGATTATCAATCACCTAGTCAAAGAGCCTTCGCATTACACACTCTCTCTCACATGGGATACATTAGGTAGTTTTTTTTTCATGAATAAAAATGGGAATAATGTTTTTAATGACAATAATCTATAAGAAATCGTACATAATGAAATTTATAATACTTTTCATCCTGATCGCTTTTTGCACTTTGTTATGCTGCTCTGTATGTTATACCATAGCAGGGGAACTTATTAAAAACGAATAGGAAATTAATTTCATTCGATAAAGATCGCATTCGTAAACTCAACTGTTCAAATAACTAGAACATTTCTATTAAATTCTTCAATTCAATCAAAATACAATGTATCTTTTATCTTGTCTTTGGTTAACATGTTTATGGGATTGCAAAATTAAAAACAAATGAATAAGAATTTACTACATTATTTGATGATAAAATTTCACAAGTTCCGAAGAAAGGGACATGTAAATTAGGTGAAAATTGATAGGTTTCTTTTTAAATTATTTTCTTCACCCTCTTTGATACATAATATAGGGCTATCAGAGTATATAGGTAAATAAAACATATCGGTTGTCCCATCCTATACCACTACGTATTTATTATATCATCACAAAACAGGCACACTAGGTATCAGTTCATTTTCCTTGTGGCATTTGATGAGGGGTTGCTCCTGCTAGTTTAGTTATAACAAACGGCTTCTGTGTGCTGTAAATAAAGGACATGAATGAAAAAGCGAAAATAGGAAACATTGATCAATCTCGTAAATTCTGTAAACAATGATCAATCTCGTAAATTCTGTAAACAACACAGTGAATAGGGCAACAAAAACTGTAAAATGTAAATTGTAGAATTATATGTATTAACAGTAAGGTATTACAGCCACAACGATTGGCATATTAATATCCCTTGGACACGATCAATTGTTACATTACTAAGTCTTTTCTGAAAAAGAACAGTGCTCAAAAAAAGAAAATATGACTTATATTTATGATGTTCACAAGTGACGAATTTGTTTTTTTTACAATAATATATTTATCAATTCATTGTCTTTTGAAATTCCCAATGTAAATTTCAGTTTTTACATAATAATATGATACGAACCTTCCTATTTTACTTTTTTTTTTTAAATTTCCATTTGTTATACTTTTTTCTTCAAAGGAGTGAAGTATCATTAATTTCCATAATATGATTGTCGACTTTTTGGAATCTATGACAAAAAAAATATACATATACTATTCTGGACAGAAATTTTCAACATTCAAGAGTGGAGTCAGGTCTTCATAATTATAGCAGTCTGGTGGCAATTTTTGATCATGACCAGATATTTTTCAATAATTCAAGTAGTTCTATATATATAGGGAAAGCAATTTCATGGTTATCTTTAGTTTCACACAAGACGAAAACTCGATTAGGCATGATAGAGCCACTTGTAAGTTTACGAAAATTTTACTTTTCAATATAAGTTTTTGGAACACGTATGCTGATATGCTGTGTATAATGTTCTAGGGTTTTCTTAGTCAATATATCTGATGTTTTGTTTGTAAATACTTATTATGTTTCAATGTACAGTAAAACACGCTATAACCACGCTTATAAAGTGCTAGGGGCAGTTTAATTTGCTTCGTTATAACGTAATTCGTTATTTCCCTTAAGTTCACAATATATTTTAAAGCCACCGGGAATAAAAATCACTTCACTGTAAGCTCTAATTCATTATAAGCGTGTTCTCTATAAGCGTGTTTACTGTGTATGGAATATGTAATAAAAAACGTATTACAGATTGGATCAAATGCAATATTAAAAATCTTATGGATTTTAATGATTTAAAAATTAAGAGACATCTTTGCATTTTTGTAGCAACGTAAAAAAAAGTAGAAATGTTATGATATATAAAGCTTTATAAAATCTAATAACATGAATAAACCATATCTCATGTCTATTAGGTCATCTACAAAATTACTTTGTTAAAACATTCTGATTCTATATATAAAAACACTCTTAATTTGATATTAGAAAGATGCTGGAATTCTTATTGATAATATCTATCTAGTCTTTGGAGATCAGGTCTTCAAACAATATGTTGCAATATTGCAATGAGCACTAATTGTGCTCCTTTATAAGCCGACCTGTTTTTAATAGCTCACCTGAGCCGAAGGCTCAAGTGAGCTTTTTTGATCAAAATTTGTCCGTTGTCTGTCGTTGCCGTTGTCGTCGTAAAATTTTTAAAATTTCATCTTCTTCTCCAGAACCACTTGGCCAATTTCAACCAAACTTGCCACAAAGCATTCTTGGGTAAAGGGGATTCAAGTTTGTTCACAGAAAGTGCCACACCCTCTTACAAGGGGAAATAATTATTCATTCGTGAAAATTTTGAGGCATCATTTAAAATCCTTCTTCTCAAGAACCACTGGGCCAGAAAAAATAAAACTTACGCGAGAGCTTCTTTACAAACTGTAGATTCAATTTTTTTTACATATCATGACCCATCGGGGTAGGGAGGGGCCGCAAAAGGGGATCAGATATTTAAATAGGAATATATAGGAAATGTCTTTTAAAAATCTTCTTTTTAAGAACAGCCAAGCAATTATTAGTCATTTAATGAAGAAGCATCCTCGGGTAGTGTAGATTCAAATTTGTACAAATCATGAGCCCCGGGGGTGGGGCAGGGCCACAACAGAAGGTCAAAGTTCTACAAAGGAATATATAGGGAAAATATTTTAAAATATTCTTCTCAAGAACAGCAAAGCCGTTATTAGTCATATTTATAAAGAAGCATCCTCAGGTAGTGTAGATCCAAGTTTGTACAAATTACCCCAGAGCGTAGGGCGGGGCCACAACAGGGTGTCAAAGTTTTACATAGGAATATATAGGAAATATCTTTAAAAAATCTTCTTCTCAAGAACAGCAAAGCCATTATTAGTCATATTGATATAGAAGTATCCTCGGATAGTGTAGTTTCAAGATTGTTCAACTCATGACCCCCAGGGGTTGCATGGGGGCACAATAGGGGACCAAAGTTTTACAAAAAATATATTGGAAATATCTTCTTCTCAAGAACAGCAAAGCCCTGATCAGTCATATTTATATGGAATCATCCTCAGGTAGAGTAGATTGAAATTTGTTAAAATCATAATCCCTGGGTATAGGGTGGGACAGAAACGGGGGATCAACGTTTAGCATAGAAAAATGTTTAAAAATCTTTTCTCCAGGAATAGCAAAGCCATATTTAGAGGGAAGCATCTGCAGGTAGTGTACATTCAGATTTGATTAAATCATGACCCCCAGGAGTATAAATATGATCAGTGTTTAAACCGAGGCAAGCTTCTGACAAATAATTTGATGTTTCAAGGATTCAACAATTCACGTTTAGAGTCAATTTTTCGAAAATTCTACGGTCATTATTATGACGTTCTTTTAGATACAGACTATCCTTGGGTCGTATTTTGACCGAAATGATTCAAAGCATGTATTAGATTATTGTCTTTATTTGACTACAGTGTACTAGGTCTACCTTATGAATACATAGGTCTCACGGCGGGTGTGCCCGGTCGACAGGGGATGCTTACTCCTCCTAGGCACCGGTGTCCAGGAGTCCGTGTGTTTGCCCTGTTTATGATTTGTTCTGTTTCCTAGATTTATGAGATTGATCACTATTCGTTATCTTCACCTTTTACATTCTATGGTTTTAGTATAGTTATCGGACTGAATTTTTTTTATTCAACCCCTTTCAGAATTACTATTAAAGAAAAAAATTGATTCCATATCCCTAAAAAAAATTCTACTGTAAAAACCCATATTTTCATAGGGTCAAAATGTGGTTTCAGGAAAAAAAATGTCGTTTGGCGGGGATTTGATTTCGTGGTATAAGAAATGTACTGATACTGTACATTGTCTTCTTAATTTTTTATGTGGAAGATATATATTCGTAGTTCACTTCAAACGACGAAAACAACGTAAATTATCCCCCCCCCCCACCCCACCCCCCCCCCCCCCCGATTATTGATTTCACATTTATTTATGGCAAATCTGATAGGATTACTTACACTGGTTTTGGTTTCACTAACGTTCTTCTGGTTTGTAGATTCTCTTCCCTTTGGAGTCCTAACTTTTGGAGGTGTAAGCGAAGCATCTGATGTTTTATCAAATTTCTATTAAGTAAAGCACTCAGGTGAATAACCAAAGATGTTCGCAGCAAATTGAAGGAATTACTAGGAGCTCATAATTGAAAATTTAATTCATAAGTATTTTTAAACAAATTATCAAAAATCAAGCAGTACATGATGATAACAAGAAACAAATTACCTTGCTATAATATCCTTACGTATACATTCTTGAACTGTCCCGCAGCTTCTTGAAACTGGTAAGAAAACAAATAATACGTATGAAAGAATGCATTAATATCAATTTTCATTTTTACATTTTTACATTAACAACAAACTATAGAGTTTGAAATCTGTGATTCTGTGCTCTAATACGCTCAATTTTGTAAACCTTTAGAGCCTTTAAATAACGATTATTACCTTAAATGTGGATTTCTTTGAAATAACTTAATTATTGAACAAAAATCTAATATATATATATATATATATATATATATATATATATATATATATATATATATATATATATATATATATATATATATGTGCTGTAAAAATTATGACCACCATCAATAAAATTCTCATTTTATTTTTTTGAAGACCTGCCCCTTCTTAGGGACAAATGAAAAAAAAAAATTATACTGAGGAAAGAAGAAACGATCGCTAAATTAAAGCCCTATGATAATTTTATGACATATAATATAATATAATATAATATAATATAATATAATATAATATAATATAATATAATATAATATAATATAATGTCAATCTAACGTGAGAAAATCAAGTCTGTCATTTAGTTGTATTACTTTTGGATACAAGTATTACGTGTTTACGTGCTTTAGCTTTTTGTTCTCTCTCTCTCTCTCTCTCTCTTCTCTCTCTCTCTCTCTCTCTCTCTCTCTCTCTCTCTCTCTCTCTCTCTCTCTCTCTCTCTGGTGAATTCTAAATGCCTTATTATTATTTCCAGTTGTTGACTCTGCTCATTAACTGTATTGTTTATGTATTGTTTATATGGACTTTTGAGAATGTTCACTGTTCGTTAGCTTTACATTTTATTTATAAATAACAGTCAATTATTAGTAATTAAGAACGTCATTTTTAAAATTAAACGCATTTAAAAAAAATAATCTTTCAATTCACAATGAAACATACCTTTAGAATTATGTCTTCTATTCCATAACACAGGAAATGAACGTTTAAAATTTACCCTGAAAAAAGATAAAATCACAATTTAAAAATTAACGTAAAATAACAATGAAAGTAATGTTCACATTTTTATATTACCTATAATACTTTTGATATACCAATCCTTAATTTGAAACGTCAGAATTTATTTTTCTTGGTTATATTAGAGAGTATATTGATAAGGTATATGAATACTTTTTTGAGACATGGTTTTTACAAAGGGTAAAACATTCTTTGATTTTTTTTTAATGGACTCACGTAGGAAATCTGCATATCCGACATTGTCCTGCTACAAGGAACAAAATAAAATATTTTACTTTTCCAAAACAGTGTTGTCGAAACATTCATTTTTGATTGAAAGTTCCACTTTAAATATTAAATACTTCTCTTATGGAAAATGAACTTAGAAGCGTTTGGGGCATGTACATGCAAATAGCAAAACAGCACCATATAAATGCTAATTTCTGTTGTTCATTTTTTTAATGTTATCTTGATTTTAAATTGCAGTTTTCCTATAGCATTTTATATAAATGTCAATTTATTGTCTATTTTAAAGTGTGAAAAATCAATTTTCCTCAGAATAATTGTAATATTGATTAATGTTGATTTTTTGTGTTACTATAAATAAATTATCTTACCTGCGGAGCAGCATATTCTGGGGGAACAGAAATCCACACAAAGAGTCACAATAAAGAGGATCAAAAACTTCATTTTTCTGGTTCCTGTAAGTTTTTTGTCCGAATTATTTACACAAACAGTTGCACTTGTCCTATTTAAGCGAAGACATAGAGCGTGGGCCGTTTGACCCTCTAATGTACTGAAATTAATCATCATAGATCAACCATTTAGTTTGATTACTTTATTTATAACTAAAAAAAAGATAAAATTTATTCAGTATTTGAAATTTTATTTAGTTTTCTGTCATGCCTTAAATTTATGCATGAAAGGATAAAGAAAAGTTGCGGAATACCTTGGGATCTGAAAGATTTTGTATGGACTAGCACGGTTTAATACGTGTAATTGCTTTTGAAAACTATCAATTAACACCATTCTTTGCTTGAGAAAAGTTAAGGATTCTTTCTATTATTATACACAAAGTTCATGTAACGTTTTTCTATTCATGTTTAGCATTTAGCATTATCTTTTACTTTGGTTTTCGTTATTACATTTATGTATTTCCTTCTCGAAATATTATCATTTTTTTTAAAGTAGACATTTACGTCAAATATAGTTTAACCTTTATATAGAAAAGATGAAACAAGTTGATGAAATGATAATAATAATAGTCTTCGTAATTGCTGGCTAGATATTTAAGTTCTGTTGTCAGATAATTATATATGAGTTATGGCGAAAAGTAAATATGTTCCTAATCATGTCATGCTTCAGGAACCAAAAACACATGGACCAGTAATTACTTTCCAAAAGATTAAGAACGTCTGAATTGGACTGTATTTAATTAATAGTCTTGCTTTCTATAATTTATTGAGTATTCAGTAGAAGGAGAGGAGTACTTAATTATAATTTGTTCTCCTAAATTGAGAAGATAAAAAGGAAATGAAGAAAAAGAGAAGAGGGGATAAATGTGGCTGTTAGAGAAAAACAGCTTCCCAGTAAATTGTCTAAAAACTGCAGCATATGTTTTAGACAAACAAAAGTTAACAAACTTTTTCTTAAAAATTGTTTTGTGTCCGAAATAGATTTTTCGTTTAAGATCCCTATAAAATTTATGACAATACTGTGACATACATTGAATTTTAGAGATTTCAATTTCATGATTTTTTTTTTTTTTTTTTTTTTTTTTTTTTTTTTTTTGTAAAACCCCAAAACCTTGTTCTTTATTCATAATCCACAAGTGGAACTGGATAAGTTTATGGCACTCTTTTGTATTTTGGATTGTAATGGTTTTATCATTCAATTTAATGGAGACCATTTTTAGAGACATCTCTAACATAAACATGTATATCCATTTGAACTAGAAATAAAAGACACCTCAGAGTCTGACATTTCTGTTTCATATTTGGATATTTTATTAGAAAAAGACATTTACGGTAAACTTACAGCAAAACTTAATAATTACATCAGCTTTTCTATCGTCGACGTCCCTGTATATACCATTATCATCTGCAGATGGCATGTTAGAGCATGTTATATGTACAAGCACTTTCTAAAACAAGGCAAGCTATTGACAAATAAGTAGGTGTTGTAAGGATAACAATAGTTTCGTGCAAAGTTAACATTTCACAAATCCTATGGTCTATGCCATGACCTGTTAGCAAAAACAATCTATCCTTAAGCAGAATGTTGACGCTCTTCATACAATTTGTTAGGCCATTATTTTCATATTGAATTGCCTACGGATTTTTAACCAATCATGACCACCCCCAGGCGGGATGCTTACTCCTCTTACTCCTCCATGGCACCTGATCTTACCTCTACTGTTTTTAGAGGTTTGTGTTTGCTCTGCTCTCAATTTGTTTTTTTTTCCAGTGGACTTTTGAGCTTTATCGCTGTTCATTATCTTTATATTTAATCAACAGGAGATGCTTACTCCTCTAAGCGACCTGATCCCACCTCTGGAATTTCAGGAGGTCCGTATTTTATGCCTTCTTCACAGATTTGTATTGTTTGTTGATTTTTTGAGATCGATCACTGTTCGTTATCTTCACCTTTTTCACTAAAAACTTTATGCAGATGTAATATAGTGGTATTCTATCAAATATTTTAGGAAACATAACCTAACGAAATATACTTTTTATCATAATTCAGTTCTTCAAGTGAATGGAATGCTTTGATGTATAATTAATATCTAATCTTATGTGTAAATATTTTAAAGTTATTTACTCTTTAACTCAGATATTTAACGAGCCAAATTAAAAGTGCATTGGAGGTGCTAAATGTATAACGATAGAGAAATAATTATCAACTCCATTGAATTTAGGAAAAGTAGACATACGGATTTAATAACAAAAGAGAAAAAAAGCCAAGATTGTGTTTTTATTCAGTACATGTACATGAATGTACGCAGAAAATAGAATAATGAATTACATAATGATTTCCTTATAACTACACTTTTATATATATATATATTTTTTTTTTCAAGAAATAGAAATTAACGGAAAAAATTTTAATAGCAACAAAAATCGGCATGACTATCAAAGGAAAACTCTTGAAATTGTGCATTTGTTTGAATGATATGAAGAAATCAAGTAAAAGCAGTGGACACACAGTTTACACAGAAATCTCAGATAGTGTTTCTTTTAGTGGCTGGAATGGATTGTGGTTCTTCTTTGTCTTCATTTGTGAAGTCTGCGAACAACAAAAATTTCTAATTTGGTTATCACCAAGATTTATTACAAATGCTCTAGTTTATCAAACATAAATAGTTTGACTTACTTAACAAAAGATTTAAAGCTGGCATATTGATATTTCCAATTAAAAATATTATTTATACATGTAATCTACCAAAGATTTGTAGAGCCTCAAGTCATTTTTTATTTGTTTATCTTTAATTTGATTATTTTTTTACAGCTTTACATATTTGATTTTAATCGTAATTAAATCCTGCAGATTTATTGATTAAATAAATCATTTTTTTTCTATCTAATAATTTTTCTAAGAGAATTTCTGCTCATGTTTTTGCAAATCGTTACCTTTCAATGTGAGAGAGCTTTCAAACAATAGATACTTGTACCATGGTTTGATTATTTTTTTAAAAAAAAGGTCCTGTTCCAAATAAGTTTTTTTTCAACGCTAATTTGCAAAGCATTTAATTACTGAAAATTGATTCTGTATGATTCTGAATGAATGATTCGTGAATTTACATGATAATTGAAATTTTGGAAAGTTTCCACATAACAACCAATAAATGTAAAATAAAAGATCTTTCCGATCACGTGCAAAAGTATGTACTAGGGAGCAAATACGGCAGCACATAGAGTACTTGAAGGTAAACTATGGGAAAGGTGAGAAATTTAAAGCACAGTCAACTTTGACAGAAAACATGCAACGTAGGTCTTTCATATAGAGTGTCAAATCACCTGGTGTGGAATTAATCTTAAATACTTAGTTTTATTATCCCGATGATCTTGCTTCATCGTTTGAACTATTTCTGCTGGTTCAGGTGTGTTTTCTCTCTCATCAAAGCAAAAAAAGTGAGCTCCAGAAGTTGGAAATGGAAATTAATGTTTAAGAAGCGTCCTTAGTTATAACTAATATTAATTGATAAACTTTTTTTCATAGGAATAGGAATTGAAAAAAAATCTTAATTTTATTAATAGCAATGGTCAGAAGGGGACTCAGGGGTATGACCTTTAAATTTTTTCTGTTTTTTTCTTTCTTTTCTTTTTTTTTTTGGGGGGGGGGGTTGTTTGTTTGTTTTTGGTTTTGCTTTCAAAAGTAAATTTGAAACAAAAATGCATCAATTTGACAAGTTTTTTTCTTGTTATTTGTAAACAAATTTTGTCCGCAAAAATTGAAGTAACATCTGTGCTCCAGAACAAGATATGGGAATATAACCTATCACAAAAAAATAACAATAACAAAAAGAAAACAAATGTGTTACCCAAAACAGATTTTATAAAACACTAAAAAAAAAAAAAAAAAAAAAAAAAAAAAAAAAAAAAAAAAAAAAAAAAAAAACAACAACAACAACAAGATACTTAAAGAATAAACAATGACCTCTTTGTTCTTATAGTGTGAAAGATACTTGGAGGTACAGGCTCAGTCAATAATAATTGTAAATACATAAATATGTATATATCTATTCTAAATCAATGTACAAAAGTATTTAGATGCTTGGTAGAAACCTACACAGTTCCTCCGGCAAAATTAAAGTTGTTCATTCAAGCAATATCACTGGACGGTCATGAACTTTCTCCATCTTGTTAGCCTTGTCCAATGGAGCAAATAAAGGGGCTAGATTGAACTTTTAATGGACCTCTCGTTTTTAAAAAGAAATTGAAGATATATGTATTTTTTCAAAGCAATTTCAATCAAAAAGCTATCAGATATAGACTTTGTTGAATTTTGCCAATTTGGTATTGATAATTAATCCTAATAGACGGAAACTACTATAACGAATTTATAAATAAGAGTACAGTTTTATTAAATGTATTGTACATAATATTTTTAGGTAATATGAATTTAGTTCAAGGATATAAAATAAAAATAAAATGTTTTCACTTAAAGAAGCCAGGATAAAATATATTTTCGTGAATTTATTATACTTATTATGGATAAAGAAGATAGTAAAGAAATAAATTATACTGCGCTTTTATTTCAAACAAAGTTTAAGCATATACTGCACCTTATAATAACAATCTACTAAATTATATATTTATAATATATAAACATAATAACATAGATGTCTGTGGTTTGTTCTATCGACCAAAAATTGCATTGCTCTGACCTCATAAAAGCTGATATCTGAAATGGTTTATAATAAACGGCTGGTTTGTATGCATGAAACTATATCAAATATAAAGATTAATTTTAGTAAAAAGATAACATTTTATTCCTATACTGTGGAATTATATAAACTTTTATATTCATGAGGGTGTGGTCAATTTTCGTGGATTTCTAAAATTGTACTGGTTCGTGAACAAACGACATCAGTCACATCACCTACTTATATTTTATAATAAATTCGAAGGAAAAAATAATTAAACAATATTTGTTTATAAAATATGCAAGAAAATTTTAATTAACTACCTTAACCTGTTTGCATCTCATGGGAGAACAAAGCACTCGGGTGTACTTTTCATTAAAATTATCTTTTCTTACAGTTATATCAGTGAAACAATACAGACAGTGTGAACATGGACTTTGTGTCAAAAATCAGAAGCCAGATAGCCTTGAAGTAATTAGTTATTCTATCTAATGCCCATTTTTTTTCAATATGACTAATTATCAGATGGTCAAGACGGTGAAAAGTTCGTATTTTCACTCTATTTGTGTTCATTACTTGTCAAATCTGAAAACTGATAGGAAAGGTATATAAACAAAAAGATTTGAAGGATGCTATATTCTGTTGTGAAGAGTTGTCTAACAAATGGTACATTCTTACTTTTTATCAACAAAAGTAAAAATTTGTTTTTGAAGAAAGCTCAACGTAAAATTTACCTTTTACACTTGATTTTTTAACTTTGAAATTATGAATTTAATATCTAAAGGAAGTCATTTTATTCATTATGCTCATCAACATAGGCTAGTAACTAATTAAACTATTTGGTGTCTTTTGTAAATTAAAATAAAAAACAAATCTTAACAGAGCTTGAAAGTGATTTGAAATTGAATTTTTACTAGCAAAAAATTAGTGCCCGTGTATCTTATAATTTTAGTACCCTTTTATTTTTTGCAATAATATCGTCTAGAATTTCTTAAGTGTAAATAATGAAGAAAGAGACCAATTAAGCAGAAAGTGATGAATCGGGACGCTTGGTACCAATTGAGACCTGCTATTGGAGCAAATCTATTTAATTTTAAAACTTTAAAGGTATCATAGTCTTCACTTCAATTTTAGAAAATTTTGTGATCATTCTGTTAGTAATGAATATTTATTTTGCTTGAAATCAAACTATCAGTCGAATGAATTCACAGACTTTAAATTTTATCATTATCTGTGTCGATTCAATTTAGCTACAAAAGCAACCTTAAGGGTAAACGTGAGATTAAATGGACACAACCCTTCTAGCCTATATATACCTCTGGAACCAAGGGCGGGTTCAGTACCAGGTAAAAGATGACCAGAGCAGGTGTGATTTGGACGCTATTTTGTCTTTTTGCCCTCGTGGCTTCCCAGGCCTGTCCAGATGAGGATCCGGAGCTGAAAAAATGGTCAGAGGATGCAACGTGGAATGGACAGGTATAAGTTTAGAATTCTTATTCAAAATTGTTGATTCTAAAATCTTGAAGTGATTTGTAAGAAAGAAATTCTCTTTTTTTAAAAATCTGTTGTTTGTTATCAGAATTCTAGGAACATGGCTATCATATCAAAATGATCGTAATCATATCTAAATATCCGTTTTCTCATGATATTAGTGAAAACAATGTACATTGAGTAATCAGAAATTTCAAAATTTTGATACCGAGACCTTTTTCTGAAATTTTAATGCCAATGTTTTGAAATTTGAGTAAATATTTTTTTTTACAATTCTTTTTCGCAGTTTTGATATTTAAAAAAAAACTTCCTTTATAAAATGTTTTTATTCTTTGAAAAACTAAGAAACGTTTGAAAATCTAGCCTAATCATAATAATATCCAATTGACAAATTGTTGTAGGCTTTAAAAAGTTCAGCTTTAGCTGAAAATGTTTGCAAAGTAATATTGATTGAACGAAAGTTGAAAGGAAATTATAAACAAAAATCAAACATAATAGCCTTTGTCTAACTTTAAAAGATATCACATGGCTTGAATTGAAATCTTCAAGCGCTTTTCAAAATATTTTGGTATGCAACCTTTAGACCATTGATAAAAAATATTTTTTAGTTTCCATAAAAGAAAAAAAAATAATTTAAAATCATTATACGGAAACTCTATAATACTGGTTGAGGAAAAAGTTGTCCAATCTTTTCTACACCATATTTGGAGGTGATTCAATTACATTTATATGTGGTATTTTAATATTTTTATGAATGACAAACAGAATGAAGAAAAGTAAAGTATCTGTTTAAAGATATGATGGTTTGCTCCTCATCTTGTAAAAACTTTAATCAGTATATATAATTTTTGTGCTTTATTTTTCTGAAAACAAATATTCAAATAAGTTTTTACTCCATAAATTTATCAATTATTAGTACATGATCTGATTGCGTTTCAGATCCGTATTTCCACTGTCAAAAGTACAACAACTTATTTTTAAGATTCAAGTTTAAAACTAAAGATACAATGACTTTTTTATACTAATTTCTATAATTTGACCAATTTGTATCTACTTGATTAATTGATATATTTGAAACTAATTTATGACAACGCTGTTATTGGATTCCGACTCCTTCAATTTATCAATCTGGACATTCAAATTAAATAAATAAGTCGGCAGCCAGGAGTGCAATAAAATGAGCTAAATAAGATTCATTTCAAAGCCTAGTAGTTTTTGCAAAATAAATTACTCTATGAAAATTCTTTTTTACTTAACACTTTAAGAAATGGTGAAAATGAGTTAATTTTGGGAAAATCGTTGTATCATATTTTTTCACATTGAAAATGATCAAATCAGAATTCAGACAAATTATGTAAAATATCAATCAAAATTCCACATTCTTTCACAAATAGAAGAGAAGAAATTCAAATCAAGGTTTAGATTTATTCATTTATATCATAGAGGCAATTCTTAAATACAAACTATCATCTAATTTCATTCTATATTTTAGAAAGTCTTTCTGAATGGCATTTTTTTTATTTTTCAAAAAAAAATCTGTTAATAAAAATTCTGAATCTTTAAAATGCATTTGTATATTCTATTGCCACTTTGAAATTTTTAACAAGAATGTATATACCATATGATATTATGATTAAAATTAATGTTAATGATTTTGATTTTTCTTTTTTTAAAAAAAAATGATTTTTTAATTCAATTTACAGGTCATTATTTTTTAATTCACTCACACAGCCATTTATATTTTAGATCCCACAAGAAGGAGACGACCTTGTTATAGAGAATGGGGACAAATTGCTTTTAGACACTTCCCCTCCTCCTTTGGGCTCTATTACTATACAGTCGGGCGGGGTACTGGTCGTGGCTGACGAGAAAGAAATTAGTTTAAGTGTCAAGTACATTAAAATCCAAGGAGAAATGCACGTGGGCTCAGAAAATTGTCCATTTACGGGAAAACTGCACATAACTCTGCAAGGTAAACTTTGACATTACAGTTATATTAGATTTCAGTTAGTTTTTTATCAGTCAATAACAGTCTGGGCTTGGTTAAAACTCAACCTGTGAATCTGTGAATTATTTATTTTATCAGTTATGTCTGATTCGGTATAATACTCATTTCTCTGCAAGATAAATTATTTGTATCTAATTAATTGTACTTGAAGCTATAGAATCAGAATCAGTTTGTTTCGCTCAAACCGTACTTAATAGAAAATAAAGTATAAAACAAAGCTGTAAAAATCATCAGAGGTACGTATATAACGTATATACCTGTACATAAATAAATATTTAACAACTGTTTTATCATATATTTTAGGTAAGATAAAACTACATAAAATGAAATATGGAGATAACGAACAGTATTCAAACTCAAAAGTCCTTTTAAACAATACAGAAAGGAGCAGAGCTAACGTACCTTTAAAAAATCAGAGGTGGGATCAGGTGCCATGAAGAAGTAAGCATCCCTTGTCGACCGGTCACACTCACCGTGTGCTCATTGTCATGATCGTGCAAACGGAAAAAATTGTATACAATTTAGTGTTTAAATAATGGCCTAACAATTAGTATGAAAAACGTCAGTCAGCATTCGACTTAATGATAGCCTGTATTTGCTGACAAGGTCATTGTATCGATCATAGAACTTGCGAAAAGTTGACTTTAAATGAGACTGTTTAATCCTTGTTTAATCAACCTGTTTGTCAATAGCTAGCCTCGTGTTAAAAATTGTTCGAACGTGGAGCATGTATCAAATCAAGTGGGAGATATAAATTCCATATGCAGGTGACAAAGGTATATTGCTACATAAGTAAGGGAAGTTGACGATAGAAAAGTTGAAGTCATCATGTTTATCATAAAGTTTTGTTTTTATAACTCTCTGATATTTCAATTAGGTTGGGTATTGTAAAGTCTTTGGTATGAAACTACACACACTCTGCGAAGTAAATTCACTGTTATTAAAATTGTTATCACTCATTAGAATGACTACTCATTTTTTTTTTACAAAGGTAACCTTGGAGAATATGACATACCAGGTTTTGGAGAGAAGTTCATTGGTGTAGAAAATGGCGGGGTTCTTGAAATCCACGGTGAATACCGCCTACCCTGGACAAAGATCACCAACACAGTCGATAAAGTCCAGTACATTTCTAACGTCAGGGTCAGTTCACCTTTTAATTTTGTATTTATTCCAGACTGAAAACAATACAGAAACAGAGATATAATCAGAATCCTAGAACAATTCTGTAAAATCATCATGATTTACATATGTCAGAACATTTCAAAAGTAGAAATTGATAGTAGATATATAATTTGCAATTTTTTTTTTCACAGAATATAGATATGTCACAAGATGCTAACGAGACGGACAACGTAGGCAAAAACATTCGGGCACTTGTTATATATGTCTTCAATGAACAAACTGGTGTCTTGGAGTCGGCGGCACAATTGGTGAATACTAATGGAAAAGCCAAAGATTTTCCCGATAATGTCGCAAAAGCTAAACAAATACTCGATGGTAAGATTTGTATTAGCGACCCTTCTTTAGAGATAATTATCAAATGAAAGATAAGATGTTATATATTCAGAACTGAAAGTTATGAATACGGTGTCTATAATTTTTCATCATCTACACATTGTCATCTATACACAACTAAAATAAATGTATACATTGGTCGGTAATGACAATATTAATAACATTTAACAGTGATTTAAAGTTCACAGTTTTGCAAACAAATGGATATTGTTGTTTTAGTACGATATTTATTTTATATGCCCATCTTTCTAATTTATAGCAAGTAAAGTGTTAAATTAGGTAAACTGAAACACTGTACGAGGGGTGATCAAAAAGTTCGCGAACTATCTCTATATTTACAAAACCACAATTCAGATCAGAATGAAATTTGGCACACATATAGTTATACACATGTTCTATAAATAGCAGATGTCATATTATGATTTGCTCCGTGTTTGTGACGTCACAATGTGAAAATGACGTCAATATGTAGGTGACTTGTGACAAAAAATGGTTGACTCAGTCGTACTCGAGCAACGAACGGCTGTAAAGTTTAACGTATATGCCGGAAATTTATTTGCAGTAATTTGTACAAGGTGTATGAAGACAAAAGACTTACCAGAAGTTCAATCATTAATTTGATTGTTTTAGTGAAGGCAGGGAGATGGTTAAAAATGATGTTTGTTCTGTTGCCAAGCGAAAGCAAGCTGGTAAAAATATGTGTCTTTAGTTGAGCAGTTTGTTTTAAAAGATCGCCAAGTTAATAAAAATAGTTGAATATCTTAATAATAATATGATCATTAAAACCCTAAAATATCTTTTACTTTAGACTTTAAACATATGAGATATGAAAAACAACTAGAAGGCGTCCATACTTTTTCCACACTGGATAAACGATGCTCCCGAGACAGAGGACTCGGGTTGTGATGGTTACCGTGCTAATTCTGGGAAGGGATATCATTATCCACCCATCTTATTGCCATGATTTGGCCATTTCTGACAGATGGTCTGTTCTTGTTATAAAAAAATAACTTGCATGGTAAGAAATATAAGACTCGGAAAAATCTCATAGCTTCTGTGAACAGGCCGCTACGGAGCATGTCACGTGACCGCCTGGATCACGTGATTCGCGCATGGGCAGAACAATGGCAGATGTTCATTAAAATCGGAGAGGACTCTTTAAAAAATAATGAACACTGAAACCTCATTTTATTTCTTTTAAGGAAGTAATTCAATTAGTTCGCAAACTTTTTTATCACCCCTCGTAAATACAGTTTTCTCTCACATTGATGCAAATTTTATGTTATGCTTCCTTTTTTCGAATACTTTATTTTGTTTATCACGATAAATTGATACAAGCAGTTATAATTAACAAAAGGCAAACTAACCAAACCCTTTACATAATCCAGCGACATGCTTTCTTCGTTTCTTTTAAAATAAACGTCCATAAGGGAACAATTAAATAAATAAGAAAAGATGGTAAGGAATTCGTAAATTACTTATATACAATTCCATCGTGATCGGGTTCTCTTTCTTTGAACTTGATTCATTGAATTTAATAATCAATGTTTTATTATCTAACATATAATTTAATTATTTCATGATTAGATATCCCAGCAGGAAAGATAATAGGGTTGGCATTGAAGAGGCGCTTTAGGGTGGAGCGAGTTGACCCCTCCGGGCTGTTTGATATGCTAGAGCAGTGGGCCTATGGCACAGTAGATAACACCTCTCTACAGTTCAGAGACTACAAGTTTCACGGTGCTTGGTCACTTATCAAGAAACAAGGTTATATAATTCTCTTACTTCAATAATGTGTAAAGTTGTAAAATGATAAGAAAATATTGATATAAAAAAATTTAAATCATTTTCGTTCAAAGTATCAATTAGAGCAGATAAAATATATCAAGAATCGGATGTATCATAAAAAACTTAAATTAACACACACACAAAAAATCTAAAAACAATAATTGATTTATTTGTATAAAAGTCATTGATATTAACCATTCTTTCATTTAACTGATTTATTTTAGATTGTTCTATTGAAATGTCATGCAACTTTTTATAAATTTAGATAAATTATAAATGTAAGCTAAGATTAATTTTTTGCACACAGGCGACGATGCAAGTACCCAAGAACTTCTGCTGAATGATGATGGAAAAAATGTTCGCATTGCTGAGCTTTACCACTTGGAGAACAATATCAAATTTGGAGTGCGTAGCTGGGTTCATACGGTCAAGAGAGGTCAATGTTACTCTCGTGGAAAGTCCAGCTTAATGCAGTATTCCCTCCCCGTGATTAATGTTGTTGACGACGCACAAACATGGCGCACGGGTAATTTTTTCCTAGAACCCTTAAGAATTTATTTAGTACATAGAGTGTGTCTTTTTTTGCAAATATAAACAAATCAATTATAAAATAAACGCTAATAGAAAGCATGTTAAAACCGATTTTCGTGGTAGCAGAACTTAACTAGTATGTTACTGAAGTACTGTGGTGTATGACCATGACCTTATTGAGACATACCATTATCTTCATTAAAAAATTTAAAAAGCGGAAATTTATAATTTCACCCTAACTTAAAAGTTTGATTTCACATTTTGAAAAATTTGAATTTCCTGAAAACAAAAGAAAAGTTCATACGTGATGCTCCATTTTTCAACATTTTTCTCAAAACAAAGCAAACTAATCATTTTTGTATAGATCAATGTCAGTACCAGATTTCCTAAAAGCGAGTAAGAAAATATTGCTAGATTTGGTACCTACTGGTAGCAAAAGGCCGTTTTATTATATCTTGTCCCTTGATAAGTCAGTTGAGAGGTTGTTAATTAGAAATCAAACGCACTTCCTGAAATCACAATTACTGGTATGTTTTACCAATGTAATGTACACATCAGGGCCAGTCACTCATCAGGACTTTTAAATGCAGGATACCTAATTTTCCATTAATTTCTTCAATTATTTCAATTGTTCAAACTCTATTATCCACAAGAACTTTACAATAACAGTTTAAACTGATTGAAAACCCTAGATAATCTTCTTGTCTAGTTATAACTACATGTATTTACTTTTTTGTAGTACATGTATTTTCAATATTGAGAAGGATATAAAAGAAATTGAAAACAAATTTATTTAAAATGATTTCAGTACTAACAATTCAATCACATATATATCAATAATTTCCAAATAAAATTTAACGCTTTCAAATTCAAGTCTCGTACAAAAAAGCACCTTTGCAAAGGTTAAAAAAATTAATGGTCAAAACCCTGGCATTGTAGAGACCTGTCATTTTGTTGAAAAAGGATTTGTGAGTACACAAACGGCCTCCAATAGCTTTTTGCAAGCACTGATCTTCCTAAATTGATATATAAAAGTATTTTGTCTCATTTGAAAGGAAAGATCCTAGATCTCAGGCTGGAGAAAGGGAATCTTTGTGGAAATCTCGCTGTCTTCCTTCTTGATTAATTTACATAGCAAGTCTTCAAAACCTTTACATTTTGTTGTAGGTGATACTGTGGCACTGATGTCCACTGACTTTGACTGGAAGCAAACGGAATTTGGGACAATAGTCGACTGTCCATCTTGCACGGCTACCCAGATACAAGTTAACAGTAAGTAGGGTTTCTATAGTGTATGTTGTATACATATATCACCACAGGAAGTTATGTATCTTTTAATCACTAAATCAATGCGTTTTATTTCATATAGTTGAACCAGAATTCACTCATTTTGGCGAAATATACAAAAACGTGGACATGCGCGGTGAGATTGCTTTGGTAAACCGAAACATATTAATCGAAGGAGGACCTGCGGATAAGGACAAGAAGATTGGAGGACACATAAAGGTCAGCAGAAAAAAAACTTTGTGTTTGCTAATTCTCCGATCTGTTTTAGGAAAGTTGAGTAGATTGTGTCCATTATGTCCTGTTTTCTTATCTTTTACATTTTATCTGTAGAAAAGAATTGCATATGATAGGCTATGTCATATACTAGTAGATACCAATAAAATTTTGGAATTTTGATACGGTCTCAGGAGTCCTCGAAAACATAAAAGTTTCTGGATTTTAATTCTTATTGTCATTTTATGCCGTTTAATCTGTGTAGTGGTGAAAGCCAGACATTGATTAACTCTGTGTCTCAGGAGTCCTCGAAAACATAAAAGTTTCTGGATTTTAATTCTTATTGTCATTTTATGCCGTCTAATCTGTGTAGTGGTGAAAGCCAGAAATTGATTTACTCTGTCAATGTTACTTCAGTTGACCGATTTTGACTTTTGATAGTTTTGCGATTGAGTGCTTTAAGGATAAATTTTGAAGTGTGTCTTTTTACTGGTGACTTTTACTCTAATATTACTAAAATTGCATGAATAAAACAAATAAAGAACCTTTTGGCAACTAAGAGCTTTTTCGAATTTACGTTGTGAGTAGGGATGTCAAAATATTTATTTTCTTTAGTCGAATATTCGTATTGCATTATTCGAACGATAGTCGAATATATTCGAATCTTTTTCGGAAAATAAAATTTTATTTCAAACCTCATTGGTACATGACGTATTTAACCCCAAAACCTTTTTTTCAAATTTATTAAAAAGTAACAACAAAATTAATGTTACACAGAGATGTTCACATGCACCTAAAATGGGGATAGCGTGTTTATATTAACTAAATCTTGTCCATAAATCGGTCTGTAAAGATGTTTTTAGTAAGCATAAAAAATGACAGTACTATATATTTTTAAAGCTCATTGAAAAAATTGGAGTGGGGGTTAAAACACATACTATCCACACACCAGATGTCTTTGATAATGTTAAACAGCTGAACATACTTTTTGTCCCGGCTATCAAAATGTCTAAAAATTTGTAAAAGAATATTAATTTTATAATAATTATCGTATTGTTCAAACATGTTGCGGCTATAATGGGTACATGGTATGAGATCAAGTCCAATCAATCATATTACAAACAAAGTCCAGGATACTGAGATTATTTTATTACAAAAACAACACATTAATTAAGGTCTTCCGCTCCAGGCGGAAGACCTTCTACTGATTCTGATGGTTAAGATTATTCTTATTATTCTTTTTTTTTCCTAGACGCCAACTTTGAGACCTCATATCGCGCTCATTTCTCAACGGATTTTGCTCAAATTTGCAGGGTTTATAGACGTTACAAAACTCTATCAGAATGCTGTCAAACATTTCAAAAATCTACTTCCGCTTTTGGGTTATTTCCCTTTAAATGAAAATTTAGGGGGCTTCATTTCCAGACAAAGGCTCAGAGACTACAAAAGCTGGAGTAGAAATTTTACCGAATTTAAATAATAGAAGCACTGAAGTTGTGCACATCGGTTTTTGTTTTTCAATTTCTGTATTCAAAATGGCGCTAGAGAGGGGTCAAAAATTAGAACGCCTAAAAGAGCGAAAATTTACACATATTTTCCTTTTTATCTTCTAAACTAAAAATATTTTGATAAGACATGTAGAATAAAAGTTGTGCACAATTTTAAGGCCTTTCATTTGACACCACTAAAAAGGGGCTGGCCCCTAAAATTAGGGATCTGGGGCCCTTTAAAGTTTTTGCTTTATAACTCAAAAACGGTAAATATTTCGAAATAGCTGCCGGAAATAAAGTTGTTCTTTAACATCTTATTGATCTCATGAAAACGTTATTTTGTTTGAGTCTTGTGTTCTAAATGAGCTAGAAGCATAACACATATACAGGTTACTGTTTTCATTCAGCAAGTAAACAAGAGCTCTTCATACATGTAATTAAGATAAACTTACTGTAAATAATAAACCTAGCTACATTAGATGCTAATATTCTTTAGAATCAAGTTCTTGAAGTATTCTGTGCTTTATTTCCAAATTATTTACTGACAACTTTCCCTTTTTATTCGTTTGTTTTCAAATTTGGATAAACCAGTCTACTAAACAGGGGAAAAAAGATAACCTTTTCTTCTTATCATATAAAAACAAACAATAACGTTAGAAAATAAAACAAAACTTTAAACATAGCCTATTCACAGCCATTAAGTACACGCCTTTTCCATTCACCTTGTGTGTTTACAATTATATAACCCCTCACTCGATAGCGCGTGGCAAAAGAGGTCACCGGGGATCAATCGGCGTGTGAATCAGCGACCTAAGGTCATACACGAAACAAACCATAGAATGGCCATTCCAAAGACATTTTGTAAACTATGTGATGAGTGGATAAATATGTTGAATCTTTCAGATTATTTCATAATATCTTTGATTAAGTCTCTAGTACATTTCGATTTATATTTTATTCGCTGAATTACAAGAAAGTTGCATATTTATTTTTACAAACATTGTATTTCTTGATATCGAGATAATTGCGCTTTGTGGAAAATTACTTTAAAATCATTTCGAATCTTTCATATAATTTCGTCTTACTGTTTATCACTCGCTTGTTTTTATCAGCTAGTCTTAACTGCCTTTCACTTATTCACTTCAAATTCAATGCGTTTTGAATGCCGAAAAGACCACTTTGTTTGCGTATTAAAGAAACAGTTGATTTATCTCTCTAATGTTATTATTTAACGAGTTGCTATTTCTTTTATGAACAATAAACACCATGTATATAATTATCACGATAATTGTACATGAAGGTCATATTTTTAATTGTCAGGAAATTCGAAAATAAAATTAAGTACTTTTGAGTTTGTATTATTTTCTTCCTAACGTACAATATTATTGCATACAAAATACTAGGTCGGACGCAAGTAACCTAAATATTTCACTTGTATTTCAAAATTCTATTGAGCGTCGAATGAATTTTACCCGTTTAAAAGTGTACAAAAAAAAAACTTCCTAAGCAGTTTTCTTTGGAAATCAATTGGCTTAGATAAGTCTACTACGACATGTGTTGAAACTCGCGCAATGAGAAGCCATACATTTCAAACTTGTGACCTCTTGGTCAGTGCATGTGAAGATTACGCATGGTAATTAGTGTCTGGAAAACGAAGTATATTTTATAAATGATATGACAGGTTAAGATTTGTTCTCATTCCAAATTAAATACAAACACAAACCCGTTAATTCTTTGTTATTTTATACCGTTAGTTATATTAGATAGATTGTTTTAAAAACGTGTTGTTCAGGAAGATTAATCTTATGCATTTGTTTTATTTCTAAACTGAATATATACATGATACGAATTACTGGTACATGCATGTAAGTACGTGTAAATGCGGTTTTATTTGTTTATGTGGAAGAGCGCCCAAAATAAATACACTTCGAACTCTGGAATTTCCTTTTTTTACTGTTTAAATCATAGGTCCGCTCAGCTGACGAGTTGTTTTAATAACGGTAATAAATTATATTCAAGTCCTGGCCAGCGATCGTTACGCTTGGTGACATTGCAATTAAACAGGTAAATACTAAGGTATTAAGATACTAACGAGTATATATATTTTCACCTTATATGTTTTCATTGAGTGTTTTCATAAGAAGTAAATTGCTGGAGGATATCATGTTCTCCCTGATCACATCGATAGCGCGTAGAAACAGCGGTACATGAGCACACACTTTTGTGTACAAAGCAAACATGTAAATCAAAAGGATGGAAAAAACGATGAAATAAAAACATTTCTCTATTAACTGAAATTATTGTCTTTACACAGCTAAAAATAAATGAATATCCGCCTGAGAACATGCGAAAATTATACCCAATACAATGTAACGAAGGATTTTGGGTTTAATCCAAGTACACAATAGCAATGATGTGATTACATGTACATGCAGAATACCGTTTTTTTATCCTTCGTCCATGTGTTCCTCCTATACGGAAAAAATTACCAGTAAATTATATTATACCGAACGAGGTTGAAAAATGCCGAACATTATTTCTTAGAATTAACACAATTATCAGACTTCTCTCATATCACTGTAAAAATGCCCTAAAAAATAAAACCGTCTGGTTTGACTTTGTCAACGCGTTTTAGATCAGGTTCGAGATTTTTATTAAATGTCTGGAGTATTTCTCTTTTTCTGCAAGTCTTTATAATGAAAAAAAAAAACTGGCAAATTTAGAGGAGGTCCAGGGGGCCCGCCCCCTTTTGTATCCAAAATATACACAAGATTTAATAGATCATTTTTTGTGTGGCTTTGGGCCCTTAACCCGACCCAAAACTGGTCGGGCCCCCTTTTCAAGATTCCTGTATCCGCCATTGAAAAAGAATGTGTTGTTCTCTTGGATGTCGATATCTGAATTACATTTTAATTAAATAGCCTATCTAATATATCATGAACGCCCATAATAGGACGATTATTTGTTTTTTAAAATAAAGTGGTTCTTACAGATATTTAAAAAACCCTTATAAACGGCTAAATAATTATTTAATTTATCTAACAAATGTTAGTTTAGTACTTTGCTTACATAATCTTTTATAAATTAACACGAAAGTCGTACGATCGTATACAAATACTCAGAAACAATCTTTTATATTTAATGAACGTATAGGTGAATAAATTTCCTCTCATCACTATACGTATACACCCATCCCCGAAATAAATAGGCCTAGAATGTTTTCCTTCGCAGTCGGTTGGTTTTACCAGGTACAGGTAAGTACAAGTGAGGATAGAGCTTTACAGAAGCAGGTGATGAATTCCAAGAGAAAGGCACTGCCTATTTTATATACATGTACATTCCTAAGGACCTGGTTTTCTGAACCGATGTCACTGTTATTCAAAGACCTAGCTAGAAATTCTCTCTCTCTCTCTCTATTTGAAATGCAGGCCCGTCGATCGTAAAAAAAAAAATGACAAAATAATTTCAATTTTTAATAAGTATCTCATCTCCCAAGTCAAAGACCCAAGTAAGCTT